GATAGTCACTATAGGCCTTGACTTTTCTCCCCCCTCTCCCATTTCCACCCAATTACAGTGATCCTTCTTCATCCCAAATACTGGCATACAGCTTCCACTCCTGCAGCTTAGTTCACATCGACTCAGCACCACTTGCTCTGAACTCACTCTGAATTTTCACCTTGTCCTCTCCCTTTCTGATGTAGACTTTGAATCCAAAGAAAGACATAATAGTAAGGAAAGACTAAGAACTATGGATCAACAAAAGGATTTGAATGTTTGCGTAAACAAATCATTAAACCTAAGTGCACAAAGAAGTCAAAGGTGAATGGAATGCAGCCGTTATCATTTCAGTGCTGGGATACAAATAAAACATTAAATATTACATTCTTGTGGAATCTTCCAGGGACCTGAATGATGTGGGCTATGGTAGGAATTGTAGCAAAATCACACAAGAAGTCTGACAAGGCCTATCTCAACTTCAGGAGCAGCTCGCTGCATCATTTATGCATTTGCCGAGTAGTGAAATGAGTGTCTTGCTAGGCAGCAGCTAAAATGCTGGACAAGCTAGACATTGTGAATTATTGACATGGAAGTCAGAACAGGTACATGGTGACTTCAGTTCACCGCTAGCTGCAAGGAGCCTCTAGTTGCTCAGCACCAAATAGCATCTCAAGGCATGAATCATGGGCATCAGCTGTCTGCACCCCTTAACAGCGGATATTGACAGTTGATATTTATCAATGCCTCACTATCCCATTGGCATCTCTCGGCTTCACTTGCAGGTCGCTCAGGAAGCACAGGCTTGCTTTGCGGGGTGCACTGGCAACCACCATTGAAAAGCAGCAATTTGGATAATCTGCACTCGGGGATAGGCACCCAGCTCCTAGATTGGACCTGGTGCAGGCAGGGTGGAGATGTAGGACCCAGCCACCTCTGGAGTGTCGTGAGAGATTTCTGAGGGGCCTGTATGCAGTTCCTCCTGCAGCCTGGTGAGTCCTGGCATCGCTCTGGCTCCTGGTGATGAAAGAATGCCCCCCCAACCGGTATGCATTAGGTTCACAACGCCCTTGAAGCCATGATTACACTTTCTAGGAGCAGTGACTGGGGTCATGAAGTGCAGGTGAATGCACCTCTCCAGCAGTCCTTGAGGGTGCAGGACCAAGCTTTCCAAAGACAGCCAGACAGTTGCATGGTCAGGGCAGCTGGGCCCTATAGTGTGGCTACACTCCTGCGGCCTCCACAAGTCAGGGCCTTTTCATCCCACATTGCTGTCTACTACAACTGTTTCACACTGTGTATGTGGACAAAAACCCTGATTGCACACACCACAGGGTCCTCTCTGTCCGAGTCTCCAACAGTCCTCTGAGTGGTAGTGGCATGGGCCATTGCTTCGTCAGCCAGCTGCGGAGTTGTCTCTGTGAAGTGCTCCCGAACTTTCTTGCACTAACATTCCCACTGAGGTGTCAATATTTGAGCTGGTAAGGAGAGGGGCTGTGAGGGGAACTGAGAAGATGTAGCAAGTAGTAGTGGGAGTGGTTGGGAAGGAGCCTTGGTGGGAGGTGGGGTGTAGTGCCAGAGATAGTGAGTGGGAGGTAGCAGAGAGATGATAGTGATAGGAGTGGAGAAGTCATTGACCCTCTTGTGACACTGCTGGCCTTTCCTCTGCACTGTGGACTACACTGATTCAGTCAGTGACCTCGGATCAGGCTGCCAGGGTCTGCTGTCATGGCTATCTCTGCTCATCCTCCAGGAAGAGAACAACCATCCTCTGCCAGTATCTCCAGGTCCCTGGAGATCTATCTTCCTGCTCTGTGAAATCTTACACTGTCACTGAACAGGGCACCTTTGGAATGCAAATGCCCTTACGTGTCCACATTGGCCTTTTAAACATGGTGCCAAGGATGCTGGTCTTTCATTGTGTATCAGGGGAGTCGTGAGTTGTTCTGAGAACAGTGCTTAGTAAAATGGGGCTAGAATGGGACCGTTCTGGGACAGTCTGTTTTGCCAGTCAGTGAGATTGTAGAGGGTAGTTAATGAATGAGGTGTGTTTGGTAAGATACAGCAAGATAGCTTGCTAGGCCTTGAGGTGAAAAAATCCTCCAAAAAACCTGGCATGATTTGCTCTTAGCCAAAAAGACAGTCAGGTTCATCCCAAAGCTTCAGTTGTATGGAGCCTTGGAAGATGCCATTTGGAATGCTGCATTCAGTTTAACATGCTCAACAGGAGGAACAACGGTAGGGAGAAAGTGTTGTAGTGATAATGTCACTGGACTAAGAGCCCAAAAGGCTCACTTTGAAATCTCTGGGTATATGGGCTCAAATCTGACAAGCAGCTAATGAAATTTAAATTCAGTTAACAAATCTGGCATTGAAGCTAGCCTCAGTCCTGGTGACCATGACAATATTCATTGATTTGTTTTTGTAACAAACTGTCTGGTTCATTTAATGCAATTTACAGAAGGAAGTCTGTCATCTTAACTTGGTCTGGCCTACATGTGACTCCGGACCTAGACAATGTGGCTAACTCTTAGCTGCTCCATGAAATTGACAAGCAAGTCATTCAGTTCAAGGCCAATTAAAGGTGGGCATGCTGACCTTCCCAGCAATACCCATATCCCAAGAAAGAATAAAAAAAACAATATATTGGCCTTGGTGGGCATGCCACACATTTTCAACAAAATGATACCAGACCTTAAAGAGTGAAATAACAAGTACTGCTTGCAAAGATATAGTTCATATTCCCTTTAGTTTTGAAGGATGATGGGTTATCTGACAAAACTGTTAACATGGTTCAAGATCCAACAGCCCAGAGATGTGTCATAATATGCCTGATAATTAAAAATATTTTTTCCAATGAAAGCTTTCTGTAGAGTAGGAAAAAAACAATTTTCACGAAAAGTGAAAACCAAAATGGGGTTATCACAATCTTAAAATTAGAACTCGGCCACTGAAGACCGCTGTTTCAAATCTGGCAAATCTGATCCTCTCACTCCCAAAAGCTTATCGTGGTTTGGGATCCATCACAATTTTCCACATGGTGTTTGACTGATTTTATTAGGCAAGGGAATTGAGGGACATGGAACAAAGGCAAGAACTGAATGACAGATCAGCCACAATCTCACTGAGTGGCAAAACAGACTTCAGGAACTGAAAGGCTTAATCATGTTCCTGCATTCCTGTGCTCTTTCTCTGAGTACTTCCTCTCCATACCATGACCTTTCCTTTTCTCCCCCAGGCCCCTCGCTATCCACTCAATTTCAAAACTCTAAGATACTGTGAGATGGCTTTCTTTACAAATTAAGCTTTGTGAAAGATAAATTGTTGCCAAAGTAGAGTGCTCAGCAGGTGAGCATGTATGAATTATCCCTTTATAAGTTAATATGACATTTAAATTTGGGAGTGTACTACAAAGTCCAGCAAGAGGCCAAGCAGCATTACATTCTGCAACTCAAAACCAGACCCTGAGTACAATGTGCCAGCACTCTCCTAGTGCTGACCACCCCTCCCATGCCTCTCTTGCATATCCTGTGACTCAGCTGAAATCAGCATGTCACAAGAATGAAGACAGCCCTGAGTATGGAAAGGGGCAGTGGTTAATCCACTGAAGCCCTTGTAAATGGGCAGCCAATTTGCTATTGCTGTCACAGACCAAGACTCAAATTTCAACTATGCTGTGTGGGAGAAGCAGATCACAGTCATGCTATTGTATCTTTCCAAGTTGCAAAACCTCACAAAACACCCATGGACCAGCCATGTAAATATAGTATCTGCAGGAGCAGGTCAGAAGCTAGGAATTCTGCAGCAAGTAACTCCCCTCCTGACTCCCCAAAGCCTGTCCACCATCCACAAGGCACAAGTCAGGAGCGTGATTGAATACTTCCCACTTGCCTGGATGCTAGCTTGATGCTATCCAGGACAAAGCAGCCCCCACTTGATTGCTACCACATCCACCCGCTTGAACATTCAAACACAGAGAAACTCAACAAGTCTGGCAGAATCCATAGAGAGAGAAACAGAGTTCACGTTTTAAGTCTGGTATGATTCTTTGGTTGATCACCCAACTCAAAGCCATTTTCCTGTAGGAAAGAATTGTCATACTAGACTTAAAATGATACCAGTATTTGTATCTCTATCCACAGATACTGCCGAACCTGCTGAGTTTTTCTAGCATTCTGGGTATCTGCTTCAGATTTCCAGCATCCACAGTATTTTGCTTTTATACAGAGTCATACTGCATGGAAACAGACCCTTCAGTCCAACCAGTCCATGCCAACCATGTTCCCAACCTAAATTAGTTCCACTTGCCTGTGTTTGGCCCAAAATTTTCCTATTTGTGAACTTATCCAAATGTCTTTTACACATTATAATTGTATCTGCATCCACCACTTTCTCTGGCAGTTCATTCCACACACAGACCACTCTCCGTGAAAAAAAATTGCCCCTCATGTCCTTTCTCCTCTCACCATAGTTTCAGCAGTGTGTACCATCTACAAGATACACTGCAGGAATGTACTAAGACTCCTTCAACCTTCCTGACCCAAGACCTCCTCTTAGAAAGACAAGGGCAGCAGATCAATGGGAACAGGACCACCTGCAAGTTCCCTTCCAAGCAACTTACCATCCTGATTTGAAAATATATTACCACTCCTTCACTGTTGCCAGGTCAAAATCCTGGAACGTACTTCCTGACAGCACTGTGAGTATCCACATCACATAGACTACCGTAGTTGAAGAAGACAGTTCACCACCATTTTCTCAAGGGATAATTAGGGTGGACATTAAATGCTGCCTAGCCAGTGATGCTCACAGACCAGGAATAAAAAAAAATGCTCCACATCAGCACTCTAAAACAACCAAGCTTTAATTTAAGATTGCAGGATCTACTCTTCGGAAACCTTTCATCAATGTCCTGCCACCTGTACTAAAGTTTTGCTCTCAAGGTGGGGAATTGAAACTGAGTGTCAATAGGTGGGGAGGAACTCTGGTTCTTTGCCTGACTGTGATGTCCTTCCATTTAGAAACAGTGTGCGGAAGCCTGCACTCTCCCGGGAAACTTTACTCTTCCAAAAACCAATGTCAACTACAGAGAATGGGAAACAAAGGACGTAAGTTGGCTTTCTGTTCACAGTTATACCGATAAGCATATAAGTGAAATGATATCTGGCTAATCACCAAACTGAGGTCATCAACTGTAGTCCAAAAATTCTGACTGGCCTGGTATTCCTACTGGAGCAGGAAAGAGAATTTGAAATAGATTGATAATAGAAATAATCAAATTAAGTTGTTGGAACAGGACAGCTATGCGTCACCCCTAAAACTGGCCCTAATTCCAGGTTGGAAATGAAAGAGGAATGTTGGCATCTGCTGTGATTGGGATGAATGTCTTGGCAATTAGCATTTGTTGACAGCATGATGTACACCTATAGGGAGTATTGCATTTCCCATATCAGTCATACTGGATGCTGGCAGTTGCTTGATCAAGAGTTCTCTTCAACTCATTTAACATTGTACCCATGCATCTGGTTTTCGCTACACCCATTGCGGTAAACAGAAAGGACATTTAAGAATCGGACATGTGATGTTTCATTGTTGGTCTTCAGTCAAGCCGAGGTGATTAAATTAAAGATCCGATGCAAAATGAGCTTTGACTGTCTCATCTTAGTTCATAGTAGTTATGGATCCACCACACAAAGCTGTCTCTATTTTGAGTACAGTTGAGTCCAGCTGTTTTAAATCTGGCTGAATAACAGTTGAACATTATAGATTCGAAAACAATAGGAAAACCTCCCTTATATAGACTTAGAGATGCTTAAACTGTATTGAAAGCATTTGCAATTGCAAGGATCAGAAAATATGTTTAAAATGTAATAGTTTCCATTAATTTTACTGTAATGAGGGTCTTCTTGATGAGACCAGTTATTTTCAGCAACATAGCAACTTGCACTTATGTAACAGCTTTCTGCAGTACGTTTCTGCAGCTATCAGTGAGACATCAGGATGGTGTATTGCCTCTTTGGTGCCTGGGTCAAGGATGTCTCAGCAAGGGCGTAGAATATTCTGAAAGGGGAGAGTGACCAGTAGGAGGTCACATTGGTACCAACCACGTAGCTATTGAAAGGGATGAGTTTCTGCAGAGAGAATATCGGAAACTAGGCAGGAGGTTTAAAAAGTAGGCCCTCAAGGGTAGTAATATCTGGACTACTAACAGTGCCACATGCTAATGAGAGTAGGAATGGGAGGATAGAGCAGATGAATGCATGGGTGAGGAGCTGGTGCAGGGGGCAATGATTCACATTTTTGGACCATTGGGATCTCTTCAGGGGTAGAAACGACCTGTATAAGAGGCACGTGTTCAGCCTGAATTGGATTGGGACTAATATCCTTGCGGGGAGGTATTCTGCTGCTCGGGAAGCTTTAAACCAGAAAGGGGGTTGGTGGGAACCAAAGTGATAGTGATAAAGAGAAAAGGCTGAGTTTTGTACAGTAGATAAGGGAAACAAGTCAAATAGTCAAGGCAAACGAGAGCTTGGCAGAGAGCGAGGTAAGACAGCCAAATTAAACTGCATTTGTTTCATTACAAGAGGCCCTGACAGGTAAAGCAGATGAACTTAGGGCATTTTTGTGAACATAGGACTGGGATACCATAGCTGTTACAGATATGTGGCTTAAGGATGGACAGGGCTGGCAGCTTAATGTTCCACAATATAGATGCTATGGGAAGGATAGAAGGGGAGTCAAGAGAGGAGGGGGAGTGGCAATTTTGGTTAGGGATAACATTATGGCTGTACTTAAGAAGGATATTCCTGGGAACATGTCTAGTCAAGTTATGTTTTTGTTCTATTCATTTGTGGGATGTGGGCATCGCAGGCTGGCCAGCATTTCTTGCCCATCACTAGTTACCCTTCAGAAGGTGGTGGTGAGCTGCCTTCTTGAACTGCAGCAGTCTTCCTGCTGTGGGTTGACCCACAATGCTATTAGGGAGGGAATTTCAGGATTTTGATCCAGTGACAGTGAAGGAATGGCAATACATTTCCAAGTCAGGATGGTGAGTGGCTTGGAGGGGAACCTGGAGGTGGTGGTGTTCCCATATATCTGCTGCCCTTGTTCTTCTAGATGGAAGTGGTCGAGGGTTTGGAAGGTGCTGTCCGAGGATCTTTGGTGAATTTCTGCAGAGCATCTTGTAGATAGTACACAAGGCTACTACTGAGAGTTGGTGGTAGAGGGAGTGGATGCTTGTGGATGTAGTGCCAATCAAGTGGGCTGCTTTGTCTTGCATAAGTGTCAAGCTTCTTGAGTGTTGTTGGGGCTGCAAGTGGGGAGTATTCCATCACACTCCTGACTTGTGCCTTGTAGATGGTGGGACAGGCTTTCAGGAGTGAATTACTCACCACAGTATTCCTAGCTTCTGGCCTGCTCTTGTAGCCACTGTGTTAACGTGGTGAGTCCAGTTGAGTTTCTGGTCAATGATAACATCCAGGATGTTGATAGTGGGGGATTCAGTGATGGTAATACCATTAAATGTCAAGGAATGGTGGTTAGATTGTCTCTTATTGGTGATGGTCATAGCCTGGCACTTGAACAGTGAGAATGGCACTTGCCACTTGTCAGCCCAAGCCTGGATATTGTCCAGATCTTGTTGCATTTGAACATGGACTGCTTCAGTATCTGAGGAGTCACGAACGGTGCTGAACATTGTGCAATCATCAGCGAACATCCCCACTTCTGACCTTACGATGGAGGGAAGGTCATTGATGAAGTAGCTGAAGATGGTTGGGCTTAGGACATTACCCTGAGGAACTCCTGCAAAGATATCCTGGAGCTGAGATGACTGACCTCCAACAACCACAACCATCTTCCTATGTGTCAGGTATGACTCCAACCACTGGAGAGTTTGCCCCCTGATACCCATTGATTCCAGTTTTGTTAGGGCTCCTTGATGCCACACTCGGTTGAATGCAGATTTGATATTAAGGGCTGTCACTCTCATGTCACCTCTGGAATTCAGCTCTTTTGTCCACGTTTGAACCAAAGCTGTAATGCGATCAGGAGCTGAGTGGCCCTGGCGGAACCCAAACTGGGCGTCACTGAGCAGATTATTTCTGAGCAGGTGCTGCTTGATAGCACTGTTGATGACACCTTCCATCACTTTACTGATGATCGAGACTAGACTGATGGGGCGGTAATTGACCAGGTTGGATTTGTCCTGCTTTTTGTGTACAGGAAATACTTGGGCAATTTTTCACATTTACGGGTAGATACCAGTGTTGTAACTGTACTGGAACAGCTTGGCTAGGGGAGTACAAGTTCTAGCGCACAAGTCTTCAGTACTATTGCCGGAATGTTGTCAGGGCCCATTGCCCTTGCAGTATCCAGTGTCTCCAACCGTTTCTTGATATCACGTGGAGTGAATCGAATTGGCTGAAGACTGGTATCTGTAATGCTGGGGGCCACTGGAGCAGGTCGAGATGGATCATCCACTCGGCACTTCTGGCTGAAGGTTGCTGTGAATACTTCAGCCTTATCTTTTGCACTGATGTGCTGGGCTCTTCCATCATTGAGGATGGGGATATTTGTGGAGCCTCCTCCTTCACTGAGTTGTTTAATTGTCCACCACCATTCACGACTGGATGTGGCAGGACTGCAGAGCTTAGATCTGATCCGTTGGTTGTAGCATCACTTAGCTCTGTCTATCACTTGCTGCTTCCACTGTTTGGTGTGCATGTGGTCCTGTTTGGTGGCTTCACCAGGTTGATACCTCATCTTCAGATATGCCTGGTGCTGCTCCTGGCATGCCCTCCTGCAGTCTCCATTAAACCAGGGTTGATCCTCTGGTATAATGGTAATGGTTGAGTGGGGAATATGCCAGGTCATGAGGTTACAGGTTGTGCTAGAATGCAGTTCTGCTGCTGTTGATGGCCCACAGCCCCTCATAGATTATTTTCTAGATCTGTGCGAAGTCTGACCCATTTAGCACAGTGATAGTGCCATACAATATGATGGAAGTTATTTTCAATATGAAGGTGGGATTTTGTCTCCACAAGGTGCAATGGTCACTCTTACTGATACTGTCATGGACAGATGCAACTGCAGCTAGCAGATTGGTAAGGATGAAGTCAAGTATGTTTTTCCTTCTTGTTGGTTCCCTCACCACCTGCTGCAAACCCAGTCCAGCAGCTATGTCCTTTAGGACCCGACCAGCTCGATCAGTAGTACTGCTGCAGAACCAGTCTTGGTGGTGGACATTGAAATCCCCACCCAGCGTACGTTTTGTGCTCTTGCCATCCTCACTGCTTTCTCTCAGTGTTGCTCAACATTAAGGAGTACTGATTCATCAGCTGAGGGAGGACGGTATGTGGTAACCAGCAGGAGGTTTCCTTGCCCATATTTAACCTGTAGCCATGAGACTTCATGGGGTCCAGAGTGAGTGGAACTGAGAAATAAGAAAGGAATGATCACCTTGTTGGGATTGTATTTCAGCACCGTCCCTCTCCCCCCACCGCCTTTCTCCCCAGTAATCAGCAGGAAATTGAGCAGCAAATATGTAAGGAGATCTCCGAAATCTGTAAGAATAATAGGGTTATAATGGTAGACGATTGTAACTTTTCCAAATGTAGCCTAGGACTTTGATAGTGTTAAGGGCTTGGATGAAAAGGAATTTAAGTGTGTACAAGAAAACTTTCTTATTCGATATGTGAATGTACCTACTAGAGCAGGAGCAATACTTGACCTTCTGTTGGGAAATAAGGCAGGGCAAGTGACTGAGGAGTCAGTTGGGGAGCACTTTGGGGCAAGTGACCATAATTCTATTAGTTTTAAAATAGTTCTATAAAAGGATAGAACTGATCAAAAAGTTAAAGTTCTAATTTGGAGTAAGGCTAATTTTGATGGTATTGGACAGAAGCTTTCAAAAGTTGATTGGGGGAGGCTATTCACAGGTAAAGAATGATTGGGAAGTTGGGAGTCTTTTTGAAAATGAGATAATGAGAGTTCGGAGATGTTACGTTTCTGTTAGTGTGATGAGCAAGGCTGGTAGGTAGGGAATGCAGAATAATGAGAGAAATTGAGGCTCTGGTCAAGAAAAGGAAGGGGGCATATGGCAGAATTA